TAATAATACATGTATATCTTATGAAATTCTTAATCCAGCAGATGTTAATTCTACAAGAAATATTTGTAACTTCATACGTGATGCATGTAATATAAGAAAATCTATGTGACTATATATTTTATATTTGTTTACTGTATGTATGACTTGCGCCACATGTGGTTTTTGTCAAATTGAATAAATGATAAATATAGGGCGGTAATAGAAATGGAAGTAAAAATGGTCTTAGAATTTCTTATTTTAAAACAGTTTCTATAGGCGTCGGAACCAGGAGGGAGGGGGCTTCCCCTTCTACTTTTTTTTGCAAAGATAGATGTAATATAGGCATTGGAAATTGGGGTTTACCTTTCTTTTGTTGGTTTAGCCCCCCTTTCAATTAGCCCCCCCCCCCCCCACTTTCCATACGCCTATGCTTTCTTTTATACCTGGATGAAAATGTTATCAAATAGGAGTTGTCTCTCTTTTCATAATTCAAACTATTCACCTGACCTGTAAGGGGGAGGGGACTGCCCCTTTTTTCTGAGTATAGTGTCAGCAATTCAGAAGTTAAAAAAAATATATGTAGTACATGTATGTACATGTACTGATCCTTGCTGACAAGTCAAGTATGTCTGTTTGTAAGGCTCATTATCTAAATTTTATTTTAAAGGAACTGGGATTTAATTTTACTAGTGGTAATCCAACTTTTACCCATAGCTCCCTTTCTAAGGAGAATATTCTTCAAAATCATATGTCAGCTTAGAATGTTTTTAATTTTTCCAACAACCAGAATGAATTTGAAATACCATATCCATATTTTTTTCCAAAACTTCACAAAAATCCTTACAAAGATACAAAGCGGGTTCCAGTTGAGTTAATGTTCTACCAAGCTCTTTCTTTACTCCTCACTATTAACAGCAGTGAAGGAGAAACTTCAGGAGTACTGTGCAAGAATATATGCGAGAAGTACATGGTGTGAATTAGATATGGATACTTAAAAATTCCAAGGAACTTTTGAAAAAAATTGAAATCACAAACCAAAGCCAAGAACATAATCAAAGTATTGAAAGAACTGAAAGCCGGGCTTTAATTTGTCGAGTATATCGTCTGGTCCGAAATTAGTACATACTTTATTTTTTTTTTTCCTTTTGGCCATTAATTTTTAACAGGTAGAGTTTGTATGAATATGATTCAAAACAATATCCCATATAACAGTAATTAAAATTATAACAGTCCAGACCCCAAGATATGCTATGATTTTAAAATTTAATAAATCATATTTCCAAGAAAATATCGCATATTTTCTATTCAATAAGCATTTTTTTCTCATAATTTAAAAATTCAGTCTTGGAATAGTTAAAATAATGCACATATATATCTTAATTCTTAAAATTCCAATTCACTATATACTATTAATTTCCTAAAAATCAAAACGAGAATATAACTACTAACATAACATCGACGAGAACGATATGAAACACGAAACTCTTCAACAGTTTCAACATTTCGAAAGCCTGCGCTATTGAAAATAGTTCGCTTAGAATATGCATTCAGCAGCGTATGTGCACAAATTGTTATATTACGATTATCCCATAAAGCAAATATCTAATTTCTTTTTCAGTTTAAATCTCAAGCAATCTGTGGGTACCTATTGAGTCCCTTTATTCGTGAAAAGGAGAAAAAGAAAGCTTAATTGCTGTTGCCTTCAACTCGACATTTAGATCTATCGACGAAGTATTTTATTTCCATTCTGTCGGGTTCATATATCCTGATGAAAACTATCACAGAGACTGAAAAATCTCTTTCATATTTGAATATTTAACTAGAATACGGTTATTAAAGAAACAGAGCTTTATTATTAACGCAATGACTTTAACTTTTCAATAGACAAATTCCCTTACTTATAATATGCAGCAATAAACCTTTATCAAATACATATGGGGCTTTATATCTCCCAGTTGATTCGATTCACAAGAGCATGCTCTACTTTTGTACAATTTCTTAAACAAGGTAAGTTAAGAATTATTGACAAACAAGTTGATAAAACAAGAATTTTAGCTGTCTCGTTTAAAGTAATCATTTCGAAAGTTCTGTAGTCGATATTCAAATACAATTTGTCATAATGTCAAAAATGCTGCCTGACTTTTTCTTACTAATTGTTAGCTATTGGCCATTATTTACATGCTGAATTTTCGACGATTTTCCCGTTATTTTCCGATCATAACTAGGAACACACACCGGTGGTACCTGATCTCACCTCTGATGTTTAGGAGGCCCGTGTTTGCTCTGCTCCTGATTTGTATTGTTTTATGGACTTTTGAACTCGTATTGAATACGGTTAGTTATTTCCATATTTTCATGAACACATTTTTGTTATGCATTACAGTTGTTTAAATGGTATTAAATATATTTTTTTATAATATCTTGACTTTTTATTTCAAACTTTAGACATTAGATACGTTTAAAATTTGAACAAAATACATGTACATGGAATATATAGAGAACAGCTATTATATACAAGCTCAAAGTCCATTGAATGTAAAGGTAAAGATAATGAACTGGTCGATCTAAATTAAAAATCCATAATACAAATTAACAGTACAAATATTTGAACACGTACCCCTGGACATTGCAGAGGTGGGATTGTTTCCCTAACAGGAGTACTCATGAGCGTCCATTTTGACCGGTCATGAATCAGTGGATGCTCACTTTTCCCAGACACTTGATCCCACATCTGCAAAATCCAGGGGTACATATCCAAATGATAAAAGATTTAAGTTAAGCCCTGGTGGAGAAAAAAAATAAGCGTAAACAAAAGAGGAATTATTCATTGAGGAATTCCTTGCTTTTACATAATATTTACAAGCGAAAAACAAATGATATGCATCTTAGAACTTGTAGTCCACAAGAACAATTAGGACTGTTTATTAGGTTACAGCGATACAAGTCAGAATTTAAAGTACCGATACAATTACATGTATGTCTTAACCTTGTATGAATTATGTTCAAAAACATTTTACCACATGAAAAATATTTCTGAGGTTTACAATACTGATGTGCAAAATTTTTTTGATAGAAGTTGTCTCCCTTGTTTTAAGACTAAGGGAATTCCACTTTCTAACAGTATCAGTATGAATGATTTATTATATAGTTCTAATCTGTATTTTGGCAAAGAAAAGTTTAAGGAATTCCTGGAAATTCCTATCAAAATGGTCAGGAAACATTCTATTAATGAAAGATTGTATTTACTAACAATGTCATTATATTGATTGTAGAATTTGCAAAATGTTTATTTAAACGAGACGGTTGAGACCCGTGTTTTATCTGGCTATCAACAAGAAGATCTAAACTCTTTGTTAGCCTCTCAATGCATATGTCCAAAAATCACGTCATGATTGAAATTGGATATATTATTAGAAAAATATGTATGATTACATGTTATATTTAAAACGAATTTATTGTTTAAAAGCAATTAAGATTACTTTTCAACAATCAACATATATAGAAAAAAAATATGAATACAATTCTTTTAATCAGTTTGAAGGCGTGATGGATATTGATCAAATCTGATTGACAAAGCAGGGGAGGGACATATAATACATCACAGATAAATAGCAATATACCTTAATCATTTAATAAATCAGCAGATATATATAAACTGAAATCTCTTAATATATATACATCAATTTTACGTTAAAAATTATTTTGTCTTGATAAACCTTTTTTTTTCGAATTCATATTGCCTAAAGATTTAGTACATGAAAGACAAAACAGAATATTGAGTTGAGTTATGTTGGTTTAATTTGTACTGGGTAAGCTGACATTTTCCCAGGGTATAAAATGTCAATATTCTTTTTAATGTTTGAAGTTTTGTCTTATGTGTCTAGATCAGTTTGTTATGATTGTGTACTTTAATCCGACAATGAAGGCCATATTCCATTTAAAACAAGTTCTAATTAAAACGTCATCAAGTACATGTATCAACACTGATTAATTTGAAAGAATGTAATCAATCAGATTTCAAAATCATAGTTATTTAAAGAAATCTGTGGATTCACTTCTGAAATTTTAAGGAAAAAAGGTTTTTGTGTTATTAAATTAAATAAATCAACAAATGTTGTCCAATATTAATTTGTCTTTTACAACACCGGATGAATGAGTGTGCAGTGACTAGTAATTAGAAGTTATCTTTTTTTTTTTTTTTTTTTTTTAAATCATGTGTTCGAAAGAATGCATTAAACAAATGTTAAGGAAAACACTTAATAAATTCAGATGATTATAAAAGCTTGATTATAAACGTAGGGGTTTGATATTGTGTAAATAAATCACTTTGGTACAGTTCACAGGCTGGATTGAATTATTTCTCATCAAGATTAACATTGAAATTTGATGCATATAAATTTGAATGATTTATTAAGAAATACTGGGGTTGCATTTCAATAATTGACGAGCATTGTTTAAAGCATCAATGTACATATATAATTAATAATTATTCTTCCAAGTAATTTATTGAAATGTACTGCCTCATCTTAGCATTCTGTTATTTTGTTTGATCCATCTCAAGAAAAAAGTTAATCTTAATATTTGATTTTGATTAAAAAAAAAGCAATAATGAAATACTGTATTCGATTTTATGAAAACATTGTTCTTCGTGATATTGAAAGGAATTTAATGTTTATTGCACATAAGGTAGCAAACAATAAAACTTATGAAAAAAAACAAGCAATGGATGTCTATTTTCAAAAAAGACTTGATATGGCGGGAATATTGTATTCAATTTGTCAAAAGAGTACAATGAACGACTTTTAAAGATTTTTATTTGTATGGTAACAGTTACATCAATATATAAATAATGCTTTTTGTTTATTGCTTTAAAATGAATAATTGGATTTCCTTATATAACGTAATAATTTATGAAATGTAGCAAAAATAGGTATATTAATTATGCAATCTCCATTGAAATGTTTTAAAATAAATAGAAATAATTGTTTAAATCTTCCTTGTCAAAATCAATGATCAACTGTAAAAAAAAATATGGGACTGATTAAATGTAGAAAACAATAATTATAATTTTAAAATTAAGATGATTAATTACGATTAATTATAAATGAGGAAGATTAATAATAAATTAATAAAGTTTTAATATGCTACATGTACTGTGTTAACAAAACAATTGCAAATATGATAAGTATGAATCTCACGAAAATGTAGACACGGGGAACTTTAACTTCAATGAATATCAGTAAAATGTAATTATCAATGCAATAAAACGGTTATAGAAACACATCTGTTGTCTGACTAATTTCTTTCTCTGCACCAGTCATTATCAGAGTGTTTTTTGAGCAGATCTCTATAGTGCGTGTGATGACTTGATGTACAGAGACCCCCTCTTAAGGGACCCTTTCCTTGCCACGCGAAGCTTGCCGTCACCCCTCGTCTGCTCCGCTCCTCAGCTGTCTGGATCCGCCTAGAATCCGGTATCCTCTCTGATTTGGCGCTTGACAATCTAGCTATCATACTGTTTAAATCAGACTTTTTCATCTTCTTGTTACCTGTTGTCAAAATAGCTAGGTTAAAATGTAAACATTTCCGAAAATAAATCTTTATTGGGAATTAAAATATACTATGTTAATTTTTTTAGCACTTGGATGATTTTATTTACTAAAATAAAAATGTTCATCAAATTTAGAATTATTTTTATATATTTATACTCTTTTGAAATGAATTGATGATCTCTGATATTTTTAAAATATTGCTTGTTTTATTTTAAATTAAGATTAACGTATCTTTTAATTCAAAATTATCTTTATCACATGTACATTTACCTAAAATAAATAAAAAATATTTAATAATAGGCACATTTTATTCCACAGTACTGTTTCGGTAACTACAGTGTCTTAAATCTTACCTCACCCATAGTCGTCATTCTTCAGAAAAAAGTATCAAAAATCGAAATTTTTCACTATAGATACCTGTAATTTATGAAGTTACCTGCAAATCTACCCCCGGAAGTGCCCGAACCACATCTTTGGTCTGCGTTGGTATCAATGGCAGGGTTATGAACACTTGAAGAAGATTTAGGTTGTGAAAGTCTTTCGATTAGAGAGCCCAGGTCAGATTTGGACAGTGTCTCTAAACCCATGTACTTTTTACTCAGCCCAGACATCGGAATAGGGCGCCTTGGGGTAAATTCCTTCTTCTTTGGTACAAACTCTGTATGCGGCAGCCCAACCTCTATGAAATTCATTTTCCAAATTTTATCAGAATTTTATTCTATTCACGAACACCTTTGATGATACTCTTGCACGAACATCATGATTCATAAATCACCCTACCACAAAACTGCAAATATAAATGCCAATTGGAAAATTCCCATTCCGTTATTTCCTTTAAGACAGAAATATCTGAGACGAGTCCACCTTACATAATAATGTTGTTAAAGGGTCTACATAACATTTGATTTGACCATCCGGTCTGTCAAAGGGAACACATCTTTTAAAAGGCATTTATGACTAAGCTTCAGACATAAACAATAAGTATTCTGTATTGATGTAAATAATAGTGCTTTGATCAATACGCCGAGATTTGTTAGTCTTAAATGGCTTAAAGAACATAATTTTATCATTTTGATCTAGAGATAGGCTTCCAAATAATAACAAGGCTGATTTGTGCAGACTGATGTGGGAGCGCGTATTCATTATTACGAAGAAACCACCTGCCTAGATACTCATTGTTTAGTAAAACTCTATTGTTTCAAAGAGAGTAAATGAGTAAACTGCCCGGTATTGACAGTTAAGTTTTATTTCAACGAGAAAGGATATAGCAGCTTTCAATTTTACACCTTTTTCTGGAGGGGTGAAATTTAGAGATGTAGTGAAACAAATGGAGATAACGAACACTATTCAGACTCTAAAATCCATTCAAACAATATAAATCAGGAGCAAAGTAAAGCATGAACCAAAAAAAAAAACAACAAACAAACAAACAAACCATCAGAGAAGGGATCTGGTGCCATGAAGGAGTAACAGTCTCAACATACATTAATTTATTCCTTTTTTATCTAAAAAATTTCACATTTATATAACTGATATTGTATATAATATGTTTATCTTAAATGGAAAAAGTTTCCAAAGTTGAAAGTCAATAAATTCACTGAGTCATGTATCTTTGCAAAACAATATCGTTTAATTTAAGTGCTTTAAATATATAGATAAAAAAATCGAGACTCTTTTACAGAGTAAATTAATTGTAGAAGTTTGGGCTTCATGGACCGTGGATATCGGCCTGGATAGCTCAGTGGTTAGAGCACCTGACTAGGGATACAGGGGTCCCGTGTTCGATTCCCTGTCCAACCGTGCGTTTTCTTCATGCATTTCTCCTTTCCTACTACATTTGGTGGCCAGTGGTGGTGGTGGGGTGGGGGGGGGGGGCTTTGTTCAGGTTACAGTGTATGTGTGAATTAGTAATTCCTGGCAGGGCCCTAGAACTTGTGTCTTCAAGGTCGAAGACTGTTTAAGGAGGGAGGAATGTAGAAGATCGGGCTTAACGGACCGTGGATATCGGTCTGCATAGCCCAGTGGTTACAGCACCTGACTAGTAATACAGGGGTCCATGGTTCGATTCCCGGTTCAGCCATGTGTTTTCTTTATGCATTTCTACTTTCCTACTACATAACAAATGCCATTTCGTTACCTGCTAAAATGGGATGTAGAGTAGGTAACGCAACAGATAAAAATATCATTTTTACAATAGAATAAAAAATGCAAACAGGGAAAAGGTCGATTAAAAAGACTAGATTTTGGCAAAGGTGAACTAATGCACGATAAAGTGAAATAGAGTGACAGGTCTCGGTTTTATGAGGGAAATATCATATGATTAGTGTATCGAGTCAGTGACCTTGACTTGACGACAGGACATCTATTAAAGATCACGACAGATGATCGTTAGAAAGAACTTCATTACTTTCGGCATCGTTATTTTTTTGTGAACAAAAAAAATAGAATTATTAGAATTGTAATTGCTAAAAGAATGCTTCTTTTCAGATCACCTGGCAATTCATGAACAATTGAAGTTGAAAGATGTTTGTAAAAAAAAATGTATCTTGAAAACATCAAGGTACCTAGAATCTAAATTCTTCAAATACTACAAAAAACCTTGCAAGTATATCACGCCTAAGGTACACAGTCTTTTGTTTCATATAGAAGCTACCCTCTCATCTTGAAGTGAATAATTTCCGCAATACTAATGAAATACCTGGTATGTAGAGATAACGAACAAATCAACAAAATCAAAAGTCCACTAAACTTTACGAAATAGGAGCGGAGCAAACAAGGACCTTCAAAACAACAGAGGTGCGATCAGGTGCCATGAAGGAGTGATCATTCCTTGATGACTGGTCTCTCCTGCCATGTGTCTTTATCATGTCAAAAAAAAACGGGAAAATCTGTAAACAACTCAGTGCGTCAATAATGACTTAAAAATCAGTATGAAAAAGGTCAGTCAGTAATTGACTTAATGATGAATTGTATTTGCTGATAAGTTCAGTGTATCAAACATAGAACTTAAGAAATGATGACTTTAAGCGAACTGCTCCTTTTAACAAGTGCCCATGTTGAGGCACTGAATAGTGGTATGGTCAATTTTTAATTCCACGCAGTTCTCAACACGTTCACTTTCTGAAAAAAGTCTTTCCTGATGGCTTCCCCATCAGGCTGTCAGAGAAATCTAATTATATGATTATTGATAAGCCACAAATTAACCACAAATTAACCACAGATGAAAGAAACAAACCGGCTTTTTTAATTTTTTAAATAAAATGTATTATTATACGTGATAGATTTTGTGTTAAGAAAATGCCTTATTATGTAATTTTGTCGGCTTGATGATCAATTCTCTCTAGTTTTTCCTTTCACTTACAAGCATAACATGAACGAAAGAGATTTTTTTTGATAAGTTCCTACAGTTTTTATAATTTTATAATTCAAGTAAAAGTTAGATAATGTATTCAGCACATTTTAAGAAATAGGAAACGATGGATGTTGACAGAGTATGACACATCTGTTTCTGTTTCGGATTTTTCTGTTATTTCTTGATCATGACAAGGAGCACACGGCTGGATGTGACCGGCCGGCAGGGGATGCTCACTCCCCATGCCACGTGATCCCACCTCTGATGATTTGGAGGTCTGTGTTTGCTCTGCTCCTATTTTGTATTATTTTATGGATTTTTGATCTTAAATACTGTTCGTCATCTCCATATATTTCATGCTACTTTTATTTACATAGGATAATGAATACTATACATGCATTTTTAAAATTCATGTGCTATATATGTAGCGTTTACTAAAAGTAAATAAAACAATACATTTAAAGTTGGAGTTGTTATTGTTTTTGGATTTTCATATACTAGCAATAAAAACCTAGATTAAGGACGGTATGATTTTGCGACTTTGAGCTTGGCGAAATTAAAAATAGAGATAAAGAACAACATTTAAGCGCATAAGTCCATTGGGACATTATAAATCGGGACCTCTTAAAACACCAGAAGGCTCAAGTTGGATAAGGTGCAATCGAAGAGTAAACATCCCTTTTCGACCGGTCACAAATTGTGAGTCATGTCAAGGACACGATGTAGTTACGATATCGACAGCCTACCATTTTATAGCTTGCTAAAATATTTCTTTATACGAGTATGATGTAATACTTTCTGTTTTACGAAATTGTCCTTACTTTTAATATCCACGATATCGTGTCGATATCAAATCATGATTGTTAAGAGCATGGTCTACGTATGAACAATTTCTAAAACGAGGTAAATTATTGAAAAGCAAGTTGATGAAACAAGAATATCAGCAGTCTCGTTTAAAGTCATCATTTCGTATGTTTTATGGTCGATACAATGACCTTGTCAGCAAATACAATTTATCATTAAGTCAAATGCTGACTGACGTTTTTCATACTAATTGTTAGTCCACTATTTATACATTGAATTGACGACGGATTTTCCCGTTTTTTCCCGATCATGACAAGGAGCACACGGCGGGTGTGACCGGTCAGCAGGGGATGCTCACATGGCACCTGATCCAATCTGATGTTTCGGAGGTTCGTGTATGCTCTGCTCCTATTTTGTATTGTTTTATGGACTTTGATATTGAATACTGTTCGTTATCTCTATCTCCTTCTTCAATGGATTTTGTTAAAAACCCTTAGTATTATTTAACATGGGTAGCTTGAATAATATCACTGGAGTTCCCCTGTGGTGTCGATATCGAATCATGTTTCCTCAACCCTTGCTTAGGTAGGAAAAATGTCTAATGCTAAGTCCCATTCATTCCAAACAGTAGGAAAAATGGTAGTTAGATTTGAAATAATCTGAAAACAAGAAAAAACATGAAATGACCTTTCTCAGGTTTATTTAAAAGTTTAACCATGAGTTGTGTTTCTATATTTTCTAAAACACAGAAATGGTATATTTACTAGTATATGATTTCCCTTATATAAATTAATTTGTTTTCAGTAAAATTATTCTAAGCAATTATTGTCATGTTTTCTTCACAATAAAGGGGATCTCTGACTTTACTAGATGATTAATAACTAGACATATCATAAATTGAATGCATGTTGAAAGTCATTTACCGGTAAGCAATTGTTATCAACAGAGTGATTGGACTGAAAAAGGATGTTTTTACATTAAATTAAGTTGTAAATGTTAGTGGTGTTATTTGTCCAATTGTGATCTTTCATGACAAGGAAGACCAACTTTTTTTTTTCAAATCAAGGAAGGTCATCTTTGTTTTATTTATAGTACATGTAGTATTTTTTTTAATACATGAAAACAAAACTTAACAGAAAAAATATTGAAACTGTTTTCATTGTGGTTTTGGCACAGATTGAAAATTATTTTATGTCATTTAGATAATAGGAAAAATGCATAAAAAAACCCCCTAAAAATCCATCGACCATTCAGTGCACTAATAATGACCAAACAAATTAAAGAGAAAAAAATCCACCTGACAACATTTGACTTCATGTTATTGTATCTGCCGACAATACTTGTTTCTAGAACATTTGTACGTAGAGCAAGCTCTTGTCTATCTATTGAACTGGGAGAAATAGACCCCATATGAAGACGATAAAAGTATAGTTCTTCAAAGATACGGAAGACTGGCGATATATCATGGATCATGTGATGCTTTTTTCACGTTTTGCTTAAAATGCATTTATTTCAAAGTTAAGGCAAAAATAATAACAATCTTTACATACATGAAGCGAAAAGTTTTTATCATTTAAAGAAATGATTTCCTTCATAATGCACTTATTTACACCAACAAAAAACTTAACATACATAAAGCAAAAAACAACAAAAGCTACGGGAAAAAAAATAGATATCAGAAGTGGAGAATTTCTTTGTAATGCATTTTCCCAAAATCTTTGTGAGAAATAAAAGCAATCTTCACATACACTAAAAAGAAAATAGCAGAAACAACGAGAAAAAATATTTAAAGTTACCAAAACAATTT